TGGGATTCGAACCCATGACCATAAAATCGAAAAAAGGTTGGGACGATTCCCCCGAGACATTCTGTGAAGCTGAGGCGGCGAATCGATTTACATTCCGGTTAGAGATTTCGGCTCTTCCATGCTATCCCGATAATTGGTCCTAACTTCGCGCTAACTAAAAAAGCCAGTGAGGGAGAAGCTATCCGGCCCCTAGACACTGATGGATAACCCCTTGCACTAACTAGGCAACTATCGAAAGTAAAATGTCAAATAGACGACTTGCGAATTACGCATCAATAGTCACATACAAAGGAATCAAGACGAGGCGCCGTGCTTTTTTGTGAAAAATCTATTGACTTTAGCACGGCGCCTCGTCTTGATTCCTTTGTATGTGACTATTGATGCGTAATTCGCAAGTCGGCTATTGGGGTAGTCTATTCGGTGAAAGTGCCAAGTGGTCTATTATTATGTAAATGAGCGTGGTCCAGTGGCGCACCGCGTTAAAGCGCTGCTTGCAAATAGGCGCTGCTTGCAAATGGCAGCGGGATCGATTCCCTGGACGAGACGTTTAATGATTTTTTTTTTCATTTCTATTTTATTTATCGTTTATCTTCTTTTTTTATTTATTTATTTATTTTTGAATAATTATTGTCAAATCTTTTATAACTTTATTAGCAATCTAAAAAAAAAAGATGTCGATTCATATTATAACGTCCTATGGTTTCTTGTCACTTAGCGTGACGCACGGCTCCCGCTCAACTAAGGTCTTCGATGCACTAAATGAGCGGGAGTTTTAAAATGTACAAAACAAATCCCAAAAATACTATCTAAGTAAGAAAAAATCTCTTATGACTTTATTAGCAATCTAAAAAAAAGACGTCGATTCATATTATAACGTTCTTTTTCGAGCACCTATGGTTTCTTGTCACTTAGCGTGACGCACGACTCCCGCTCAACTAAGGTCTTCGATGCACTAAATGAGCGGGAGTTTTAAAATGTACAAAACAAATCCCAAAAATACTATCTAAGTAAGAAAAAATCTCTTATGACTTTATTAGCAATCTAAAAAAAAGACGTCGATTCATATTATAACGTTCTTTTTCGAGCACCTATGGTTTCTTGTCACTTAGCGTGACGCACGRCTCCCGCTCAACTAAGGTCTTCGATGCACTAAATGAGCGGGAGTTTTAAAATGWACAAAACAAATCCCAAAAATACTATCTAAGTAAGAAAAAAACTTTTATAAGTTTATTAGTAATCTAAAAGCAGATTTCGATTCATATTATAACGTTCTATTTCGAGCACCTTTGGTTTCTTGTCACACTTAGCGTGACACACGGCTCCCGCTCAATAAGATCTTCAGTGCACTAAATGAGCGGGAGTTTAAAAAAGCCATTTATTAMATCGAAGACTAAATAAGTGACAAGAAACCCGAAAAGKTGYCCAAAATAGAACGTTATAATATATATTTGAATTATTTTTTGGATTGTTAATGAATTCATAATAGTCTYCRAGCAGTTTTAAAGGTTTTTATTTGYCCATTTTGYTAATGCTAGTTTTGGCACGGGCTGCGTCGAATATCCTCAGTCATGTTGATAGCAAGAGCATCGTCTCTCCAAGATCTTCCTTGTATGGRGGACCATGACYAGTGTCAATATATTCCAGTACATCTTCTTGCTCTTCGTTTTCTTGAGCAAGATACTTTAGACAGAAAACATATAAAAGTCAGAATTTCGTCGATCGAGAAATAGTGTATGACGTCACAATGGAGACCGCGGGATYGTGCATGCAGAATCGGGGAAAAAATCCACTGACATCAGTGAATAAACTTCTACACAAATGCAAACTTCATGCTCCTGGACAGCGAAGACAAAAGAAGCAAGATGTAAACTCATATTGATTCAAATAAATCTAGCAAAAGATCTTAAACTGGGAAAGTATTCTTACAATCTTTTGTTCTTGTTTGGTGTTTTTACTTGATTTCCACTTCTTGTACAAGAGAAAACCYGTCCAAGTTGAGATCGCAAAACCCAGGGCTAACTTGCGGCCGCGTTTTCGCATCAGGACCAGGATCGAATTGGTTGATCGCGGTATACAAACGAGAAGATCTCTATTAGTGATGTCATAATTACTGAATGCAGATTACTAACAAGACACCACTTCCCCCTCCCCCACCCCCTCTTCCTTAACCACGAACATATTATGATATATATGCTTTCTACTGTTCTCCGTGGTCCGTGTCAAGTTTGTGTAACCATAGCTTATTGTGATGCTCTTAAAATGTCTATGGTACGCAGCACTGCTGGTCACTACTGTTCTGTTGGTACACAGGGTACCCACCCAAAAGGGCTGGGATTCAGTGTTTTCGGATACCTGATACTAATCAATACATTTTTTGTGTGTGTTATTGATGGGTAATGATCCAAGTATGGTTTTTCTAATCGATCCTACTCAATAATAATCCTATAGTTATTAAAYCTGTCATTTTCTTTTAGTAAATATGTAAACAAACCTATTTGAACTTGACTCAGCTTGAGTTTTACAATGGTAGTGGAATTTTCATTGCCGAATTTCTTGCGTGATAGCAAAAGCGGAACCCACTTTGAAACAGCGCAAACATTGAACGAGGCATTTAAAAGTCATTACAGTGCTCGTGTCAATCAAATGAATTGACAGGCAATTATAMGTAAATCATTGGTGGTTTTAATAACTAACATAGTGCAATGACTCCATCGGGTTAATTACTCGTGTCCACTGTGAATGTTATCGATGAAACGCGACGRTTTYAGGTCATTTCTATAGTCCTCGAAAGGCCAACTACTATACGTTACTGGCATACGATCTTTCAATATGGTTTTGCTTACAAACGCTGTTCGRGAGGGAAGGGCGCACCAAGTAAAGCTCCTCTTGAAGGCAGGAGTGAACGTCAACTTGGCGGACAAAGACGGACAGACAGCACTTATTCACTGTTGTTTTTTAGAAGATCCTAAAGTAAGAATGACAATATTGAAGTTGCTGGTGTCTTATGGATGTAACGCGTCTATAAGGGATAAGTACGGTCGTGGAATTGTCTCGTGGGCTTGTACTTTAGCAAGAGTCGATGTACTTTCTTACTTATTGAACGATACGAACATTGAACTTGACTTTAACAATGTCGATAACGATGGTAGTACTACTCTCCTTCTTGCTGTAATGTCTGGTTGCCTGGAAATGGTTCAAATGGTWTTAATAATGGTCTTAAAAACCAGTACCATGGGCCAGATYCATCGTAGTAACAACGCAGGAATGTGCCCGTTGCTAGCTGCTTTTAGTCGAGGAGATAAAAAGTGCGCTCGATTGTTGATTAAGGATGGGGGTTCTCCACTCTCAAGTGTCATCAAATACCTCCAAGAACAAGACGAGTTCGACCCACCTAAATCTCATCCATTTTATGATTTTATTACTAAGAGTCSTGACCCGGAAAGCGGGTTAGATAATCGTGGAGTCCTTTCCGAAAGGGATCTTTTACAATTTCTGTTTGCTAAAGATGACACATCGACTCGTGCAAACAAATCAAGAACGTCACTAAGCTTAAAGACAAAATCAAAGACTATGATCGATTTCTGCTCGACTAAATCTACGGTTGGTTTAATTACAAGGAATTCATGCGATCTTCCAGATATTACAGATAGCTCATCGGAAATTGATATGACATCTCAKTCTCTAGACGCAGGCTTAAAGATTTCTTTTAGAAAGTATTATTCAAGTCAAGAATCAGTGTTACAACTGTATGATCTTTACGCGCACCAGCTAACGCCTTCTTACAGGGAGGGTCTGCCCTTGAGAAGGTATAAGACACCAAGTCCTCCACCACCACCCCGAAAGGAATCTCGTTCTCACAGAAACAGTRTCCARTATGAGATGAAAGCGACCAAACGAGGTTCAATATCATCTAGTAGCGGTAGTTATGCATTGGAATCAGCATTTGACAGGCAAATGAGACAAAGGTACTCGCGCACCAATAGAGCTGCTAGTATGCAGGTTGCTAAGCTACCACCRATTCCTGTCCATCTAAGAAAACTAAAGAAAACCAAGTCTTCGACGTCACTTAAAGTACGCACAAATTTGACATGATTAGCCATTGTGGGGAAAAGAGATTGAACTGACACTGAACTGCCACGAAAAGTGATGCTGCTAGAATGGGTAATCATGGATGGGAATTAATAATTATCAATYAATCAAAATATTATCATTTCTAATAAGCAGCCGTGCTGATGAATGCGATGACTACATAAAGTGAACAGCAATGGCAGCAAGTGTAAACAATACAGTTATATTGTTATTTATCTAAACAACTTTGATTGACAACCACGCATTAATGGTATTAACGTTGTTTAACTGAAAAGGATTAACGCAAAGTTGATTGAAAATATTCATATTTAATTCGATGCTACTACTGAAGAGATTAAAGTTAGATATTTTTGTTCGTTTATATATTTGTGCACCTATAGAKCTGGATGTTGTCCGATCGTCAACGGAGTCTTGACAAGAATCATGCAGCGTCAATAGAGACAATATGCCTATACCAGTAAAAGATTAATATATACAAATGTATACTAGCTTTTCTAAGTTTGTTATATCAGTAGTCCACAATGTACTCTTCATTTTAACTTCATGCGCGTGACCGTTTCGTGYGATTTCTTCAAGGTGCTAGTTCTAGGCAACAAAGTTCTTCTCTCAGRTTTCTCGACTTGTTTTTCTACTACAGTGTCTGTCTTACAACTTTTACACGAAGCAACTGATACGCACATTCTGGGGTATGAGTGTGTTAGCTGTTCAGTATAAAGATCGAAGATTTTAGGAAGACTGCAATGCGGTTTTCTTTGCGCAGTGCTGGGTTTTGTACGTCTTGCGCTAGTCGTTATGCTGTACTTTTCCTGACGTCTTGAAGTCAAGCACTCTATAGGATAAGAACCAACGTTTGTGACATGAGCAATATCTATTAGTATGATTATCATATCTCGATTTGCTTGCTTTACAGCTACGGACAATGCAGTTTCTCCCTGATTATTTTTCCTATTGACATCTAAACGGTTCCGATGAAAACTCTTGGCAATCGTTCTTACYACATTCACATTACCAGACATRCAAGCAAGTAGTAAATTCGTRTTTCCATCTGAGTCTACACTATCATATGCAAGGTCAAGCTCTGGTTTGCTCTGGAAGATTTTTAAAGAGTTTTCTCTCGCCAGTAAGCAGGCCCAAGACAGCGCAGTCCTTTTCATATGGTCTGCAACTTTAACTTTTGCCCCATAGTTAATCAACATGGCGGTACATATTCGACGCAGCTTAGAATCCTCAAGATAGGTTGCACGTATCARAGCGGTTTGTCCTGTATTGAAGTCTTTGCTATTCACATTAATCCCAGCATCAAGCAATAAACGTAGTTGTCGAAGACGACATTTCGATACTGCATCAAGAAGTATCATGGGTCTACCCCATACGACTTGTGTACAGTCACATTCATCTAAGCTTTTAGTCCAGTTATCTTGTTGAAAAAGAACTGTCTTTTTACTCGCCATTGAGAATTGAAGTACCTCCAAYTATAATCCGCCAGGTTTAGTATGTATGTTTACCAATAGCCTAGCAATTTGCGAAAAAAACTCGTAACCATTAGAAACCATTGACATTTACTGTCAAGTATACATCTTGAACTAATACCTCTTGTTGAGCTGCGAATTATACATGGATATTGACCGTCTTTGTTCTCTTACTCAATACGCTTTTTAATTAAGCCATGATACAACAAAAACAGTTAATCCACATCGACTGATGATTATTATCAGAGTTAAAATGATAGTCAATAACGGCGCTAGAAGTGGATTGATTTTGTGTCGTTTTTATATAAATCAAAAGAATAAATCTTCAAAGAAATTTTGAAATGGACTCACGTATTGATGAACTAAGATGTCACTGAGCTGCATTTTTCACCTTTTTTACAGTCGCTCGACTCAACAACTGACTCCGCAAAAAGCATCGGACGATAAAAAATGCCGATATAGGAATTCAAAAAAGCCTCCGACTCCTTCTCACACAGGAGGTTATCGTAGGGAACATTACTTGAGACAMTGAATTCTCCGACAGCTAAGTGGATAGGAAATTAGTGAATGTTGACAAAAAGAAAGATGCAAGAATAAATATGGACTTCAATGAATTTAAACGTTTTTATGCCCAACTTGATCATACCCCTGTAATATCATGAAAAACCTGTTTACTTATTACGTTCGAGMTATATTTGGGGAGTCAATAAACAAACATTTACTTTTCTTTGTCAGCAATTTAGGGAGTAAGCAAGTTTCCAGTCCAAAAGTACGTAACGGCCTCACTTCACTGCTTGAAACTCTCAAAACGTTTCATATAGATTTTCTTAATTTATTACCATGGTAACCAACGTGTTTATAACAAAAACGTAATGGATCAAAAACAAAAGGATATCATGAAAAAACTTGACCCATATGTGCTGTGATTGGTTCATTAACTCTTTGGTACCTAATTATTCTTTTATTAAAAATCAATWAAGTCCAATTGGTCTTTGTTCCCCTCAGTGTGTGCCAAGCAATTGTGATCAAAAAGCTTCATTCCATGACGTCTTTGCCATTTGTTGTAATGCAAGGATAATTTTCCGTCTTTAAGACATTTTTTCTGTCTTTGATTACACGAAAATGCTTTTAGACGCTATTGCTAGAGGTCGTTTGTATCAGGTCAAGTTTTTACTGGAATCTGGATCGGTGAATGTAAATGTAACGGATCACCATGGACAAACACCGTTAATGAAGGCAATTTTACTCAATGATAAAATGTATCACACAAGATACAAGATAGTTCGCCTTCTTCTTAAACACGGTGCTAAAGTAAACTTGACGGACAAGAGCGGGAAAACAGCTCTAATGTTGGCTGTCATTCGTGGGCAAAAAGACGTCGCCGAAAAGATACTTAAATGTTCTCTTATGGACATCGATTTGAATGCAGGAGACGACAAAGGTAATACAGCTTTGATTCATGCTGCGTTAGAAGGCCATGACACTATTACAAGCATGCTCATCGCTTCATTGAAAAGGTTCAGTCTTGACATTGACAAGAAAAATCACCGTGGACTTACTGCCATGCTAGCAGCACTACGAGGAGGAAGAGAGGACTGCGCTCGAGTCTTATACTTACAAGGAGATGCAAGCCTTACAATTAGGGATCCTGATAACTTTATGAACGCCTCTGAATGGGCTACYCATAATCAATTATTTGATTTCATAGAATTAATTGAGAAAACTAAGCAAGAAACTGCGCCATTAAACACTCAGAATTCAACATGTAATAGCGCTGATATGATTAGAACAGAGACACCGAGGCTAGARACACCACTGATGGACTATGAATGTACCTCGAGGCCTCAGTCGCCATGCGACGTCACCAACAGACCAGTCTCACGTAAAAGAAACAGTAGATTGACAGTTCCTCGAGTCATGAATAATCTCAAGAACCAAGAAGAACCAGTAACAATAGTAATAGATAACTCGAGAGTTCCATCTCCTAATGACTCGACTCAAGACAGTCGACAATTTCTTCAGCCAAGTKTTCCTGCTGCGAAGGAAAATGGAAGCATGGAATCGAGGTCAGAATCTTGCGTAAAATCCTCAAGATCACTTCTTTCATCAAGAAGGTCATCTGAACCTCGACTCGGTGTTAAAGCGGGCTCCCATCAGTCAAAACGATGTTCAAGTGCGAAAACAGAAATACAACGATTGCTTTCAATATACGGTGTTCAGAACTCATTGACTTATCGTAGAGGGTACGACCCAACCTCCCTTCCTCCAAGTGGAATGTGGCCGGATCCCAATGCAGTGAATATCACAGACTCTATCGATAATATCAGYATATTTGGAGAATCMGACTCTTTCGGTGAATCGCCATTTGGTTTTGCTCGACGATCAGCTCTTTCGAATGCTTCCTCTCAATCAAGACGAATGAGTGTTTTTGGTGCCAACCAGGGAAGGGAGGGGCGAAGAATGTCAATCATTGGACAAGGAAACGCTAATACCGATAGACGGACTTCCGTCCTAGGACGTAAATTCACTAGCGTTCAACCGCCKCCTCAGAGAAATTTGCTCGAGGCATTGGGACGAAAACCAGGCGAAAGGAGGATGTCCATTGCAGCTCGTCCTAACATCATGGAAAGGCCTACATTGAGAAGGAATAACACCACACAAATGAGTCCTCTAGTAGGCTGATCATGGAATATTTAGCTGACACAAATAATCAACTAGCTAAGAATGAAAAAATATGAACAGAAATTATGAATAAAAATGAAGAGTGCAACGTTAATGTCTGAATAGCTAAATAATAATATGAATTTCAGATATCTTATGTTGTGGCACCTAAGACATCTGCAAATGAAAGTTTGATAGTCAGTTATAAACTTGAAATAATAAAACACTACTAGCCTGTTAGACTCCCCACAGCCGTTTTCCGGTGTCGTCTCTTAATCCTCAGTGTGTGCCCCTCCTAGAAATGCTGTGCAGGCTAACCCCCCCTCCTCTCCCCTGTCAACAAAGCGATCCCTTGGCCACAGTGATGTCTTCTGTTGCATTTGATGTCAGTATAAGCTGTTGCTAATCAACAGCATTATCAAAGACTGTGAAATTGCAAACATYAGAATAAACATGTTTATTGTTCCAACAAGTACTTCAGAAAAGTCTGGAATGTAAAGCATGTGACACTTCCATGTTTCAACACAAATCATTTACAATTCATTTAAAATACATTTTGTTTACATAAGCAAAAAAATTATCACTGTAACCTATTATCAAACAAGCAATCATATTTTCCCAGCAAATGTTCCATTTTCTACTTGTTCATCCCAGTTTTCCACCTAAAATAAAACAAAAAGTATGAAAAATATTAGTAATAGGTTCTGTCATTACAAATTTCAATGCAATATTTTTGTAAAAAACTGACTTTCAATAGGCATTAATCAAAGAAGATTATCATGGCAATTATATTTGTACATTTATGAKGAATGATACACTCCACTTGTACATTTTTGTACAATTTTGAATTGTTTATAAACACAATACACCTTGATGATAGTATTTAATAAAGAGGTCTCCATGTGGGCAAAATAAGTCATTTCATTGCACCAGACATGTTTATATCTTACCCAGGCTTTTGGGCAAAGAGAAGTAAAAGCTTTCTTGAACTGGTGACAGACTTCATTTTCCTCTCCTAATTTCTTAGTACATCTTTGGAAGTCGACATAGTTCCACCAGCAATTTCTGGTTTGGTTTGTGTATGGGAATCTTGCATCAAAGGGAGCAGTCTCTAACTTGACTTCACTTATTTCAGACATGTCTTCTACCTAACAAGTTGCAAGTATGAGCATCATGTTACTTGGAGCATCAGATTCACGAAAAACATGATAGGATGCAGAAGCCTTCATTTATTTATGATACTATATCTCAAAAGGGGTTGGAGAAGGGGGTGAACTA